CCTCCGCCCCGCTCCACCCCACTCCACCCCCTTTGTACCTCCATCCACGCACTGCACCCGCTTCTCCCTCTCCACACGCTCCACCCCGCTCACAACGCTCCACCCCACCCACCCACCCCGCTCGCTTTCCCCGCTCTCCGCCCCCGCCTCGACTCCGCAAGGGCTCATGATTAACCAGACCACACTCGCTAGCCAGTGCCCGCACGACTTGGCCACTGGCGGGTCTGCCGCCCCGCCGCCGACAACGCGGATACACGCCTCCCTGCACGGCTTCCACTCAACGTACGACTCATACGCTCATTGCATACACACTATTATACGAGCAAATGCGACTTGCAGCAATATATGTCCACATACATGCGTATACATGGACGTACGTACACTGTTCTTCATTCTACAAACAGAGATTATATAGGCCTGCACTTATCTCACGCACAATCATACACTAAACGCATATACACTTATTCTGTCTTATAATGCCCAAGGCAAATCTGTTCTCACTTCAGGATATTAAAACGTCGATGGGAGAGTCTCGTCGTGCGTGTATGTTATCATCACTTCATGCTCTTTCGAATATTCGCCAACACCATTGCGAAATGATAACAAAAATAACGAGAGATGCAATTTTTGTGCATTGCAAATTTTTTGATTTCGTTCCTTTTATTTTGCACCATAGTCCGCGTGGAAAGGCTGAAGCACGCGCCGCTATATTTATCGTTCTCTATATTCGTTGAATTAAAAAGAAATTTTACTAATTTCCGTTTGCTGTACGCGGTGCATCTATTCTCCTTACTCTTCCTTGCTTTATCTCACCCCTTCTACACATACACACCCCCACCCCCACATACGCACACACCACCCCGCTCTACGCCTTTTGCGTCTTCCCTCCACGCCGCTTCGCCTAACGATGATGAATAAATAAAGAAGGAATGGATAAATAGAAAAAAACTAGCGGTGTTAAAACAGCACGTACTTTCTCGCCCGTACTTTAACGCAAAATTACGGGAAATATACTTAAGGGCAAAAATCCTTATCTTCATAATTGTAGTTGTAGGAATACGCCGGCAACATTTTGATTTTTTGCAATTTTCGTAAAATCGCAGTGTTTATCGAAAATGAGACTTGTACCATTCTCTTAAACGTACTTCACAATATCCAATAGCAAAGTTTAATCAAAAACGTTGGAACCATTTTCTTGAAAATTTTGAAAATGTCCCAGGGGATTCATATAAAGGCTCCATAAATTTAAAATATCGGTTTAAAAGTCAAGGGGCCAATACATCAGTCAGATCGATTGGGGATCAATTTTGGAGATAATATGTTAAACGGTTTAGCTTCTGGCGTTGTTCACAGACGTACGGGCTGACAGACACGGACAGACGTTTTGCCGACATTCGATTCGTTTAGTTCGCCAGTTTCTCATGAACCCTGCAGTTCTTCGTTATCTCGTTGATTCTTTTTCGCGATAAATAAAGTTTTCTGATAAAGACTTCTGCTTTAAAGCCCAGTATAATAAAGCGTTGTGATCAGCTCCTCTTAAAAGCCGCGTTATTTTCGTGTTCGAATGGGAAGGACTGGATCTGCGCCAGGACCTAGTTATTCTCTCGAGTGTCTCCTTCATAACGCACTCTTGGCACTTCGAAGCGTTCCCGCGGAGTCTCGTCATGGGATTACTCGATCTCTAAAAAGAGATGCAGATCTCATAAGAACTCCGCCACCCTGGCGCTCTGTAAGACAATTGGCGCGTGGAATTGTGTGCTGGAAGGCAGTGCATGTTGCTGGCAATGTCGACTGCCAGAAGACCGCAAGTACTTCCAGTGCCGGCGCTAGACAGTTTTGGGCCTCAGGCAATACAGAAACGTGGCCCCTCCCCGCCGGAAAATTTTAAATTGCGAAAGTTGAAGCAAGAAATTATATGAGTTATTTTATTTCCACAAATACCAAAAATTGCAACATTTAAGCTAGAAACAGGTTTTGGAAATATATATGTTAAATAATAGTTTTAAGTAAAAGTATTAAGTGAATACAAAGAAGTAGTATCAAATAATACAATTTCCTCGGTGAGCTTAAAATGTTTAAAAAATGTTGTGTTTAGTTAGTGTTTCATGAAATCACTTATGTATGTACTTTGCATATTAGCTCTTTACGAGCTACCAGCAGACCTTGTATGTAATGGACTGTAATTAACTAATCAAGGTAAAAATTAATTGAAAATGTTATGAACTATCAGACTCCTGGACCGCGACTTATAAAATTACGATAATGATTTTCTCGATTTATAATTTATTTTTCAATTTGTGACTTTTTCCCTTCAGTCCCATTATGGGGCATACTGGGCATCCCTTTATGGGGTGGCGTGCGGGGCCCCGGCGGTCTCCCGGTCTGCCCATGCCCATCCACCTGAGAACGTCAGCCACCTGAGGAGAGAAAGGCGGCGACGTCCTGTCCGGCTCGAGGTGGCTCTTGCGGAAGAAAGTCGGTTTCTTGACGCCTGGTCCCCGGTGGTTCTCTGGACAAAAAAGGAATTTCACCTCTCTCCGGCGACTCTTCTTCATCAAAATGTGAGGAGTACATCTAACAACCTGAGCTCTCCAACTTTTCTTTTTACCACACTTTCCCTTAAATTCCATTTTGCACTTTTTCTAACCAACGCAACTTTGTAATGTGTTTTGAGAAGTACGAGCCCGGAGTGACTTCACATTAAGTTTTCGTTCTCATTCTGTCTTCTGTATTCTCTATTGATGAACTAATATTCATTATAAAATAAAGGTGTATTGTATATAATGTTTATGTAATCAAATCAATGAATACATGTCCAATCCATTCTTTTTAAATACAATTAATTAAATCACTATTAAAATAGAATCACTTTGGAATTCTAAATCAAAATGAAATGATTTCTCGGAATGTTAATTTAGATTGTGTGAACACTTTTATTTACAGAATTCCGATAGTTTATGACAAATACTTTAGAAGTAATCTTTAAACTTCCTCTCGCTATTCTATAAAATAATCTCGATCCAAACATTACAATCACCTAAATACATCTCTTATTATTATATAACGTCGCTTTTGCTAATGTGAAATAGGAGGCTTGCAGCTCATGAATAAGAATGAGGTAATGATAGAATGGAATGGAAAAATAGAATGGATTGGAATGAAGCGTTGACAGACGTAATGTCCGTCAGATTCATAATATTGATGTGACTATAACATGCTAATGTCTTACGGCAACTCAAGACCATTGAAACCTTTCCTTTATACCCGCTGTGCACAACCCGTAGTCAACCCCAGAATAATATTGAAAGAGATTTCGGAAATGTCGCTTGATTTTTTGACTTCTGTATTCAAAAATGTAGGAAAATGTTTGTCGTACTGTTTCGAAAAAAAGGTTGAGTGAAGGTACCTATCAATACGGTGCTAATTAACGTGGATCTGTTAGCGTCTGAGTTTATGAGGCTTGACCGTGAAAAACGAGCAGCAATATGATTGACCTATTAGTTCATGTCGGGCCAAACAATAGTTCTGCAGGAGGATGCTTGTGAGTAAGTTTAGCAACATTTGCGATGATGCAGTCAGCGTAGTGGAGGTACCAGAAGAATGAGCAGATCCTATGCCCACAGAATATTTGTTGACCATATCTCAACGTGCGAAATAAATATGAGGAAAGAGAAAGTGCAAGGTCATGGATGTCATCTCGGGAGTTTGGTTGATGAAAGTAGCGCAAACAGCGTTCCTTTGATTCCAAAACATACATGTTACTATCAGTTATTATTTCTTAATTAAACTTTTACAGTATTGTGATCACGGGTATTTTTCACTTAGAAAGAAAAGATGGTGAAATAAAAATTTTCAATCACAAAACATCGATGTTAAAAAAATTGGTATTAATACATGAATGTTTAGAACATGGATGTTTTGAAAATATGGGCATCGATGTCGCACCCTTGTATCTGTCCTAGCGAGCTGGATCCATGACTGTTTGGGCGTGAGGCGGCGTGAGGTTGTGCACCTCTGCCTTGGTGGGAGCAGCTGAGCTTCCGGCGCCGCCGCGCGCCCCGCGGTGGCCTTTGCAAACGCGCGCGCCGCGCGGCCGCCGTGACTCAGGGCGGAAGGTAGCGGAGCGGCACATGCGCACCTATGACGTGGCGCGGAGGCGCTGTGAATCAGGCACGCTCCGTCCAGCGAGTCTCCCACTGATTGATCAATTAATTAGGCAAATTAGAAGCAAAATAGAAAACTTGAATACGCACATTAGAAGACTATCAGTGAAATTGTTTCGACGAACTACCAAAGGCAGAATTCGATAACTTAAAATCTAAGACGTTCAGCTGAAGACATTAAAGTTATTCCAATATATCTCAAGAATAAACTACGCCCACCATCAACGCTTCGATAAGAATGCAATTTGAATAAAAGAAATTGTTAAATACACAAACTTAGCATTACACAATACAATGTTAGAAATTCAGAATAAAGTTTTAAAAAAATGCAAACACAAAATCAAGAGAAATGTAACAAAGTAAGAGGGAGCTTAGGCTAAAGGGACTCCCCGCCTGTCTATGCCCTAACCCAGTTCTAGTATTAAAACATGCAAATCTTTATAAAATCACTGGATTGAACAGATAGAAAATAAAGGGGGAAAATAGCTTGATTGAGTTGTAATTGCGGGCGCGTCAACTGCTGAAGTCATTTATCGTAAGAGTAATACTCATTTTTCTTCGGGAGGCGGCGGTGATCTTCCCTCACTAGCTGACTGCCGGTGCCGACCTACATGTCGACTTGGGTAATTTTCTCCAACTAGGTACTATACATAAATATAAATATACATTTGTACATAAATGTACAAAATTGTACATAAATATGTAGATACATATGTACAAAAATATGTACAAAAATGTCAATAAATATTTTTGAAATACGTTTTTATTGTTAGCTTGAAAAAAAATTACGAAACGCAATGTATTGCGTCACTTGTAAGAAAAATCAGGAATCGTTTCACATGCGTGATACCTGACCAAGTAATAAATTTCAACCAGATTACAGGTGAAAATTACTGTATATCTTACATTGGGAATATATTTATCTAAAAAACATTTTTTTCCCATGCACTTCTATATCTCGGCAGTAGACGAAAGTGTATGGCGGTGTACAGAGGATGAGTTTGCTCGTTACCAGTTCACTAACTACGTCTGCATACGAACGGTATAACTACTTCTTTGACTTATTTTTTGCCGTGAAAAATGTCAAAGCATCCAAGTAATCATTCTGGCCTATTATACCGCTCCTATCAATTCACATTCTTTCCTTTGCATTCGGCGATAGGCTAATCCAAATCTATAAATCAGTCGTGGCTTTGAATAATGTTCACCAACGCTTTGTCTTTAGAGCTCTGGGGAAATTGCCTACCTGAGGTGCAGTGGTCCGATCGTGGTCCGACCTTTTTCCCAGAGGACAGATGCACTCGCGGGCTCATCACGTGCATCACCTGCTCGAAAGGAGGGGCACTTGTTTTTAAGCAACATTTTAAATAAGACACTAAACAATATAAACATAGTGTAATATTGAATATTTAAATTCCAAAGTCATAGTCTATTTTCTTAATACATATCTTCGATGTTACGATATTATTAAGGGGTCTTATAGTTTGGTCACGCATTTCAAATCCATTGTGATGGTAATCCTGGCTTGCTTAACTGTGAGTACGGTTCAGTCATGATTGCGCCTTGTGGAGTTTGTGATAGGTGATATGGATTCGCGGACGATTCATTAGGATCCTATCATTTCGTTATTAATGAAGTAAATGTGCAAATATTTTAGTTAGTCGGAAGAGCAGACCTGCTAGCCTGAGCCTTGCCGCAGATAAATATTATTATTATTATTATTATTATTATTATTATTATTATTATTATTATTATTATTATTACTTATTATTATTACTTATTGTTGCTTCCGTTTTATTTTCAACTGCATTGACCGTGATGACAGCAGATACATGATAATGCGTCACCAGCATTTCGTAGGTCATTCTCATTACTTTCCTCTTGGGGGTAAATAGCGCGTCTGATAGCAAGAGCGATATAAAATGTCTACGGAACCACTGCCTCCGTCAGTCTTCCGCACATTGTGAAGAAATCGTGGAAGACGCGCGATAACTTTTTTTCTTCCGAATTTACTTTCATCTCCTTATAGTTCTCACATCCTGCTAGGGCGCTAACGTTAACTCTGTGCTTTGCGTCTTGTTAATTGCGGAGCTCCGGAGGCGCAGTCGCAGGAAGCCGCGAGCGCTTCCGACCTGCGGTTGCTACGTCGTCGGTAACTACGTATTCTGCTGTGCGAGAGTGACGTGCGCAGCTGGTGACGATTGTTCCTCGAAGGTCGTCTTCAAATAGACATTTGCGGCCGTCGTAAGGTTCGTATCATGACGCACTTTCGGTATTTATTATTGAAACAGGAATTTCAACCTCGAACATCCACTAGATACATTTTGAGTACACAGTTTTTATTTTAATATAGTAGTTAGCAATACGGCATTCAGGGCTGCTTAGTTGTGACTTATACGTTACTACAGAGTGGACCTGTGAGCAGTGATATAGTAGTGGATAAAGATAACAGTACAATGTGTTACAAAACATTGCCACGCACCCTTTTGTGGTATTATCAGACTTTGATATCCTTGAATGGTTTATTCAAATTTTGAATATGTTCCTCAATAGTTTCGTGTATTTAAATTATTTACAAGAAATTCCTATGCCTACTTCTAACGATTACCAAATAATTTTAAATCGTTGCGGATAAGTTATCCAGTGGAATTAGTATTATATTAACAGCCTTGCTACTCAAGCATTTTGTTAGGCTAAACGATTCATTTCCACCACTGCAATATAAAATCTGCGAACACTTTCCTCTTTCTATTACAATTTTATTACGTCAGTCTTGTGGCAACCACCGACGGAGGTGTATCAGTTGGGGGCAATAATTATGAGCTTAAAAAGCCTTAAATTGCCGTTTACCAGCTTAGGTGGCTCAGGACTATTGGCTCAATTGAAGACTGCGGTGTCCTCTGATAGGATGTCTTAGGGTCGAGTCCCGACGGTGGCAGGATTTTCAATTTTTGCTACATAGCTAGTAGGTCGAATTCAGGCACTGTTTACAGGAGAATTCCACCTCTAATCTGTAATATACGTGGTTTCTCCAAACAACACCTAGAAAATGCCGAAGCAGTACGTGAACAAACGGGCCACGGACCGCACGCTTTCGTTCCTATCTCTTCCTTGTCCTCTCCTCACTTCTTTCTTACATACATGTACAGTAACATGCACTACACTCCCACACATGCCGGGAGGCCGGTCGGGTGCTCAGAGCTTGTCCCGACTAAGGAAGTGTTCTGCTGGAGGGAGATACCAGGTTCGGGAGAACCCCATTAGCCGACGGTAGGTCGGCGCCGGATCTCACCATCCAGTGGGGAAAGATCACTGCCACCTTCCGCGTTAGAAAGCACTACACTTACGGGCCTTAGCCGTTGACGCGCCCTGAGTCACTAATCAATGTATAAATCAGTCCAACGGTCGCTTCCTGACCGCTGGCCTTGGCCGTCCCACGAAGAAGATCCGTCGCAGACACCGTGCAGTGAACGGACGATGACGTCGCCGTCATTCGTCATTTGCAGTCGCCAGCAGCGCCGCGTTGGGGCACTGAGATAACCGCGAACTTCCCGGATGGCTGGCGCCGCGCCGCGCCGCGCCGCGCCGCCTTCGGTCCGCGCTCTGGTGCGCCGGCCAAACGGTGATTGCAGCCTCGAAATAAATATGAGCGCAGTGGACACTGCGCGGGGGATAACGCGGCTGAGATGGTACAGAGAACGACAGCGGACGTTGCGGATCCTAGTGTTCGCGTGCAGGCGGTTGCTTAGATTGCTGTTAGGTCGAATTCACCCCTCGATGTCGATGTTTCTAAAACACGATGTTTTTGTAGAAATTTCGATGTTTTAAGCATCGATATATTAAAACCGATGTTTATTAACATTGATGTTTTGTGATCAGTGTTTTTCTTTCTTTTATGATGTTTTGTTTCTGAATGAAAAATGTCCATGATCACCATACAATAAAATTTAAAATATGAGAAACTCAGGGCGCCCCGTAGGTCAGCCCCAGATCTGACGTTCCGCCGTGGGAGATCATCGCAACCCAAAATAATCAATCCGGGTGTTAGCGTTTGGGCAGGTGCTTTTAACTCTCTCACATACTGCGTACGCAGTGTAGAGAAAGTATTGTACTGCGGGAGAAAACTGCGGTTTTTGACAGGAAAACTCTTATGGCCGTGACCCCTGTCATGAGATGATCATTGAATGATACATCGGGAGATCTCACAGCCACAGACCCCGAACTATTAATACAAGGCATGGTGGTCCGATCTCGAATTTGAATATTTTACAAATCAATTCTACAAACTGCATCCAAAGTGTACATATCTTTTTATTCCCTTATCTGCGAAAAGGTCTGTAATCATCTATCAAGGAAGGAAGGAAGGAAGGAAGGTATGTTTGTGTGTCAACCTTCCTCCTTCGGAACGATCTTGGCCGGGAAGGCGGGGGGAGTGGGGCTGTTGCTTCAATCACCCAAAATATGAGTACGAACTCCGCACAGTTGTGCACGAGATGCACTGACGCGATATCAGATTACACGAAGATGATGCTACTGCCTCGGCGAGAAATCTAGTAGATCGTTTCTGCTCTGGTCGTTTGTTTCCGCAGTATCCAGTGCTGTAACAACGAGCCACGGACCACGCCGGCTCGTCCTTACTCG